CAAAAACTTCGAAAATTTTTGAAAATCCGCAACCCCCCCCCCCCCCCGCCCCCCTCGAGAAAATCCTAGATCCGCCCCTGGTCTTGAGGGTTTTTTTTTCTGAAGGGTTAAGGATCTTCGAAGGCTCGTCTAAAATGGCCTTCCCAAAGTCCATCTCAACATGGAGGACTTCGTCTAGGTTACTTACGAAAATGCAGTGAGAGAACAAGCGAATGTCCACAGGGTCTTGTACGATTGCTTGTTTTTTCCCAGCCATGTATCAAAAGTAGACCCTCTATGAATTCTGATTTGTTGCGAAAGATTGTATTTTTTTTAAAGAGATGTTTTCTTTTTTGATTTTTTTGGTAATTATTGCTTGTTTCATCTCGACCGCTTCTGGATCATCGTTTTTTAATGGGTTATATATGGATTGTGACTATTCATAATTCCTAGAGGTTTCAGTTTTTCTGGGGACATTAAAGCCATCCATTTTTAAGAATAAAGCAAAGAGGCAGTGATTTACTTCGGTTATGTGTGGACAGTGAGACTAAGTATCAGCCGCTGTCTGATGATTTTCTGAATTTCACCTCTTTTCTTACATTCTTAAGCAACTGTCTTCGTTAGGAAGCTTAATATATTCTCCGCAAGCTTTGTGAAGCAAGACTATCAATATGGGGCGATGTTCTGACTATTGTGGGATATCTTTTTCTGTTAATCTCTTTGTGTTAGCCTGTGCGCAGCTTTAGCATTGTCAGACGTTCGTAGTTTGAGTCCCCGTCATTTTTTGTCCATTTTTTGTTGTTTTGTCGATAAATCAGTGCTGATTCTATGATAAATCTTTTGAATGTGCTGTTTGAGCCGACTGAACTTTCATCAATTTTAATGACAAAACGTATCAGATTGCATAATATTTTTTTGTCTAGGCCGAGCTCAGAACTTTCTGAGATTTAGGCCGAGCTCAGATCTCTAATAAATTCATTGATTGAGTCGGCAGATTTGGCACAGAGGTAACATCCATGATTGCTACGACGAAGGGAAGGGTTTCGGTTCCTGGTCCCTTTTTTGCCGGATGAATTTTTTTCTGAAAGTTTCGGCGTAAATTTTATGCGCATGGCTGGCTTCGGAATTAATGCGGCGAGAGCGAGTGTCTTGTAATCGGGATTTAGACTTTTTTCCCGTAATTAGCTTTTCTTACAAATCTAAGAAATTGAAATTGCTCAATAAAATTGGACATTATCAACTTCCAGATTCTTTCTCTTTTGGCCTAGAGGTAACGCGGTGGCCTTTGCACCCTAAGGCCTGGAGTTCGAGTCACGGAATTTTCGGCAAGTTTCATTGTTGCTGGAAGTGTTGTTTATTATTTTCATGGATTTTGTTAAGTTTTTCGGCTCAATTGGTGTCTGCTAAAAGTTTTGTTACCTTGCTAGTTCATTATTCATTTGTCTTGCTAAGTTTTTTTTCATTGTTGTATCGCAAGTGGTGCGGAGCTCCGCATCACCTCTGTGTCTGGTTTCATGAATCAGGTAGACAATTTGGAACATTCTGCGAATTTGTGTGTATCATTTTGCATAGCTATCTGTTGCAAAATCGCTAATAGTGATTTAAGACTTCAAATGGGACCTAGGAAATTAGACGATAAGCAAATTAAACGGATGCTACAAAAGCGAAATTAGACTATTTTTTTTTACAGATTTGGCATTTAGGACGTCACTGCTATGAAAAGGTAAGGGCTAACAAAATTTCTTCATAAGAGTCAAGTTTCACAAATACAAAAAGAACATAAATTGACATACCTATCAAAACAATCAGTTTGAATGAACATAAAATGTCAAATCCGAATATTACAGGAGAGTTTTGAATTGAATTAATGATGTATCATTGACATGTAAAATTTTTGGCCTAAGAAATTTAACTGTTGTCTGCAAACAATTTTATTTTTCTCACGCAGTTTGTCTGCAAACAATTTTAATATCTCTCACTTTCGTCTATTTTCTCAGAATTGCAGTTTTGCAAAATCTTCTAATTTCCTTTTAAGAGCCTCCGTCTAATTTGCTTATCGTCTAATTTCTCAAAACCCCTTCAAATATTAGGCTCCTTATTATTTAGCTTTCGTGATGAGTGTTCGTCAAGTCTCGTCAAGTTTTGTTCGCGACTTTCAATTCACAGCTGATTTTGCTAACCGAGGGTCAATTTTGAGTTGATATTTAAAACCTTAAACTACGAGGCTCATGATTTTGATTTTTTGACATTTGGGTTTTTGAGGAAGAATATACTTAAACCTAAATGCTAAAACGTTCTATTGTTCTGACCACAGGTACCTCAAAGAACGCTCGTTTAGGCAGCTAGTTAGCTATGTAATATACCATATTGAAGACCTATAAGTCTTGATCGCGTTCCAACATCAATCATGTCTCAGTCGAGAAAAACTGCTGATTATTTTTGTTTTTCAGACCTTTTTTCACGCTGTGAATCCCAAGTTACGCAATCTTAATTGTGTTATTGTTTTTTGTTGAGGCTGAAAGAATTGAAAAAATTAAAGTTCTTATTTTTTATATTGTGTTAAAGAGTAATGAACGTAGTGAAGACTCTTATATAGGTCCTGCAGATTTTTTTTTCAGGAAGAAATCTTAAAATGCTCTAATTACTACAGATGTGCATTCATACATATTGATGCACTTATGTTAAAATGCAGTTTTTGAGTTCAATTGAAATTCATCTGCTGAAAGTGACGTAAATAGCACTGTCCAAATACGAACGTGGATATGGCGCGAAAAAACGAGAGCGATTTCTAGTTTCGAAAGTGGAATTTAATTTTTAGATTTTCAGTGGAATGGAAACTTTACCCGTTAATCTTGTTTTCTCAATTTGGGTTAATTTTATCAAAAAAGCGCCAATCATAAATCGTTCTAGAATTTCAAGAGCTTAAAGGGCATCTATTTTTTTCTTTGAAATTCGAAAGTTATTTTTCCAACAAAGTCTGTTTTTTATGTTTACTTACGTTCATTTACTCTTTTCCAATCTTGGATTGGCTATGTTAATTTTTGGAAATTAATGGTTTAATTTTCGCCCTGTTCGGCGAAAAATACAGAAACGAAAAATCAAGTTTTTGGAAGTTTTTTCTTTGCTAGAGCAAGTGTTTTTGAATCGCTACCTAGATTGTTTTGCTTAAATAATAAGATAAGTATAGTAACATCTTCCAGGCCTCTTAGTCCGGTGGTAAATCGCGTTTCTTCGCATCCTACGACCTGGGAGTTTGAGTTCCTGTCGGACCTTGTTTTTCCAAAATTTGAATTTTCGTACGTTAGTGTGTCTGCTTCCTTGGACTTCTTTTCTGATTTATGCAATTTTTATATAATTTCGTTCTGTAATTTGCTAACTCACCAAGTCGGATTTGTTTATATTCATTATTTTCATTTGTTATTTTGCTTCAATTGTTTCGGCTTATTTTATTTTGGCCTTGTTTTTTCATTTTGTATCATTTTTTCATTTTGTTTCAGACGGGTCAGGGCGTCAAATTTCGGATTTCAAATCATTACTGCTTGAAAAAATTTTCGGCAATTTTGTTTTCGGAGTACTGTGCTGTGCGTCTATCCAGTAATTGTGCGTCTATCCAGTAATTGTGCGTCTATCCAGTAATTGCTATGTTGACTAAGTTGAATATAATTCGAGACAAATGTATGGAATTTTTGTAGAGTGGCTTTCATCGCATGTGTTTCCACTCGCTTGCAATGCTATGTTCATGGTTTGATCGAATAGGTCGTAGAGATGATAAACTAGCGTAAGGCTGATGTTGAAGCGTAGAGTATAACAAGATCAATTTCAACTACTTCATATCCCCTTGGTAGTGGTAAAAAATAACCACCCCTATAAAGAATTGAACCAATAGTTAAGAGTATGTACATTTCGTATCTCTTCAACTATTCGTCTCGTTTGCAAGTTAAGGAGAAGACATAGTTAAACGGATCCGTATAAGATAGTGTGAGGTAGCCTGCAATAGAACTGATCGAGCATTCATTTAGCTCACATTTTAAGAGCCTTGAATCAGTGGTCGGTTTAATATTTCGTCACAGGCTGATTTTAAACTGATTTTTGTCTCTTATGTCAATTTAATATTCTATTATGAATGAATTTTAATCATTTTTCTATGTTTGGCTCGACTGATTTATGAATTCTGGCTTTTGAGCGCTGATGGGTATCTCGCAGAGCATTACAACTATTGATTTCTTTCTGCTCGGGTTTGAAAGGTATTTGATGTTGCAAGCTGTTAAAAGCGTTTGTTGAAGAATGCAGTTAATGCTAAGCTTCTACAGGGCTTGATAGTAAAAGATTATGCCTCAGACTTAGAAATAGCCCCGATAAAAAAGAAGTAATCGAAATTTTACAATGCAATGCGTGATCAGAAATTTTTTCGAATGCATTTGGTTCAGTAAATCATGAATAAACTAGTGAAAATATCGTTTGGATTTATAATGAAAGCAGAATAGTACTTGTAATGAGCTTCAACTTCATCTTAGCAAACTGAAGACTTAATGACTCAATTACAGTTTACAGAAAACCATTGCTACTGTTTTGAGAAATCAACGTTGTCTGTTATCTTCTCTTCGATCCAATAGATCAATATAAGTCTATGTTTATGTCTGTTCACATCACAAAACAGATTGTAAATATTTACTGTTAATTTGGCAGAGAAAACAGCCAAGTGTTTGATCTAAATCCTGAAGTTATTGGAAACAAAACCTAATCTGTGATCGTTTTCAGAATAGTTACATCTGCACTCACGTAAGCAAATTGTACCAGTGTAAATTCGATCTGTTTTTAACGCTATAGCAATCAACCCGGTTGTTGTCTGTTTTTGACTGTCAATTTTTTCTCCATAGATTACATTGTTTTTAAAACGAAATCGGAAGACAAGCAAGTTTTTAACATAAGCTCTGTTTATGTAGATAATTCCAGTTTTTTAACTATGTTGAGTTATAGAAGACGTCGTAGTTGTTCTTTATCTTAATTTTTGTCCGTTTTAGTTCGAAAAAGGCGCGGCTCTTCAGCAGACGAAGAAATGGGTCAATCGGGCTCCAAATCTGGCGTTCGGAACAATCGAGAGTTCTACATAGGCGAAGAAAACAACCCACGAGTTCAAGAACAGTCTACAAATTTCTGCACAAATCGAATTCGAACTACAAAATACACTTTCTATTCATTTATTCCAAAATATTTCCTAGAGCAGTTTAGAAAAGCAGCCAATTGTTTTTTCCTCCTGGTGTCTCTGTTACAAATCATTCCAGGAGTTTCGCCCACTGGTCAGTTCACAACACTAGCGCCTCTGTCTATCATTTTGTTTCTGACTGCTCTGAAGGAGATCTTTGAGGATCTGAGTCGTATGAAGCAAGACCGAGATGTGAATGACCGAAAAGTGCAAGTTCTGACCAAAGAAGATAAAGGTTAGTGAAATTGTAGTTAGTTCTAACTTGTTCGGCAATATCTTTTCCGTTCAACGAATCTAAGCGAACGTAAAATTGCTCGAAACACTAATTTTGGTTCTTATTTAGCTGCAATTACCGTATTAAAAATGTAATTATCCTAAAAAACACCGTTTTTGGCCGATGAAGTTGCCCGAGGTCACACTTATTGCCAACAGTTTGGCAATTAATGAGAAGTCTATTTGCTCTATTGAGAATGATGCAACTGCTTGAATCATTTCTTGAAATGCATACTTATTACATAATGTGGTTCTATGCTTTCCAATTTATTACATGCATATTTAGTGAGGATGCCTTCAGTTTGTTATATTCCAAACTAATACTTGCAAAATTGAGTCTATTTGTATTTGGTGCCACTTTTGCTGCACAGCGTTGGCAATTTTTTAGCATATGTAGCTGCTTCATTTGTGACTAGTGTTTTCTGGTTGTTTAGCGTTTGTGGCCGAGAAGGCAGATCGTGAGACTCAAGGTTGCAGATTTGAAGCCCATACGTAGCAAAGTCTTACAAATTCGAGGCTTTTTTCGATCTTTTCTTATTTCAATTTATAAAGCTGCTGTTTTCTCGTGTTCTCGCTAGTGTTTGCGAAGCACAGCTATGTAGCTGCTTCATTTGTGACTAGTGTTTTCTGGTTGTTTAGCGTTTGTGGCCGAGAAGGCAGATCGTGAGACTCAAGGTTGCAGATTTGAAGCCCATACGTAGCAAAGTCTTACAAATTCGAGGCTTTTTTCGATCTTTTCTTATTTCAATTTATAAAGCTGCTGTTTTCTCGTGTTCTCGCTAGTGTTTGCGAAGCACAGCTTCGCCTGTCTCTAAAATTTTGCTTAGACTCAAATTTGATCATTCGCGGTTTGACTTTGATTTCTTTTTACATCCAGTTCATTTCCTTTGTTAAAAGGACGAAAACTCCACTTTTCAACAGCAAAAGTGTAAAAGTCACGAAAACGTAAACGACTCCTAGTTTCGAAAGTCGATTTTAACTTAGCTTTCCCAGCGGAAAATTTACTTTTTTATCCAGTTTTCTCAAATTGGGTTAATATTATCAAAAAGTGTTCATTTTCCTTGCGATAAGCTAGGGTATTGCAGTCAGGTATTCGACTTTTCCCGTAAATAGCTTTGTTTACAGAATGGTAAATTTTAGTTGGAATGGTAAATTTCACGACTACTGACATGCTCAATTTCTTGAAAATTTAAATATAACTACCATCATTTAGGCGAGGTGGTAATTAGGTGAAGGTCTTTTCGAATTACTGTTTCAATTTTTTTCGCATGATTAATTTCTGCCCTAGTTTCCGTCAGCTCATTTTCCATTTTTAAAATGCTATTTATTTCATCTGGTACGTCTTTTATGGGCTTAATTTCAAAAGCATGTGTTTTTATTGATTTAAATAATTTTAACTATAATTGAAAGTTCTGTAATTTAATAAAAATTTCCGTTTTTTTAATGGTTTCAGTTTGTTAAATCAGTTTAGACAGGGCAAACCGTTAAATCAGCGTAGCTTCGAGGACAAACTGTATTGTTATGCTTTTATGTGTTTCAATATGGTTGGGCCGTAAAAACTTTTGAAACTAGCTCAATTTTTTTTGACAACAGTTTTGTTTTCGGATCAACGGGTCGCCCAAAATTTCATAGCCTTAGCTCCCGCTCGGTGATTGTCCAATCATGAAACTTTCGTAGGTGTAATTTTTTTGACTTTCAAGTATTTTTATCAACTTAATTTTTCATAAAATTTCTCTTTTTTATTTCACTATCATATCAGGCATTGTTTTTTGTCGTTTCGCGAGTGATTTTTTTTCTTTGAATTTTGAAAGATGAATTTGTTTCCAAAACAGTCAATATTTTTTCTGAAGCCTTAATTTCATTGACACAAATTCACCAACTCTAATTTTTGCGCTGACCTGACATTTTTCAGGTTAGCTGCTTATTAATCGAAATCAAAGTCATTTCAGTACGATGGTAGGACTAACGTCTAAGCCTGAGACGGCGATGGTCGTTAGTTGAATCCGGCCTGGACCTTTTTTTACCAACTGAAAATATTCCATTTTATAAACAATGCCGGCTTATTAGCCACATCGGGGATTTTCTTGCCATGCCAACAATGTTTCGAATTTCAGAACTGTGGCTCAACGATATCGTAAAACTATTTTGTTTTCGGCTCAATGAGCGTTTACCCTACGATTGTCGGCTTAGTTGCCTCTTGGTAAAAGGTTCTGAATGCCTACATAACCCCAACAATTGTTTTTGGAAGAAATGAAGAAGATTCGAGACAATTATATGAAATTTTTGACATTTTTAAGCGTTGTAAAATCGTAATATATATTGTTTTTCGGGTCAACAACTTGTTTAAGAGAATATCTTGGTTCATATTGAATTCAACCTTTGAAGCGCCTCCTGCACTTGAATTAACAAAAAAATAGCCAACAGTGCATTCAGGCGTTTTTTAAAAGTTGTATGACTAGCATTTTCGCATCGCATTATTATGGAGTTTTATGGCGAAGATCTTTGGTTTATGGATGTCAACCCGCGGGTCAAGTGTTTTTACCCTTGCGATAGCAAGGGTATTGCAATTAGGTACTAGGTTTTTTCACCATAAACAACTTTTCCACAGGAATCTTCGAACTGGTGGTACCTTAGCCCATAATGAATTCAAAATTTGTAGTGTCTCTTGCACGCTTAGCTTGGTGGTACCTGTTAAGTTTCGGAGAAATGACCTCTCACTTTATAGAGAAGTCATTTCCCACTTTTTGGTTCAAAATTAGAACCTGATTGGATATCGCACGATGTCACGCCATATCGCGCGTTGGATATCACGAGATCTCAACAAGCGGTTAACTTTTCATATATTTAGAAGTTGATTCACTCCTCTTTTATCGCTCTCAAATTAAACTGTTGATTATACCTAGTTTTGCTGCCAACCTGTGAAAGGTTATTGGCCCAGCTGCTAAAATACGTGTCAGAAATGAAGTCTGGAGTCACAAGGAAAGCTGAAAGAAGCACACGAGAGCAAGAGAAATAGATACACACACAGCGAGAGAGAAAAAAAGAGAGAGAGAGAGAGAGAAACAGTGATAGATAGAAACTGACAAACTGTTCCATTTGGGAAACTCAATTGATGTGGTGTTTTATATAAATTTGTAGATAATTGTTGTTGCTTGGGGGATCGTAGTCCGTCGCTGCGAGATCTGAACTCGAAGCTGATTTAAAAAAGAAATTCCACAAAAAAAAACACTTCAAAGTGTCTATTTTGCTAATATGTATTGCTATGTACGAAGTCTGTAAAGTAACCTTAGCTTTGGTAAATCGCTGATGTGTTATTCAGTACGCTTACCCTTAGGTTTTGGATCAGATTTAGGTAATGAGATACATGATTACCTATATTATGCGCTGCGATTTGTTTGCTGATTTAATATAGACTGAATTTTTGTCATTGAAAAGTACGTGGAAGGTATTTGTTCGGAGTAATACGGTTTGGGTGAAAAATGTCTAACTCAGAGAGAATAGTGTTTTCAGGAAAAGAAGAAGATTTTTTGTACGTTGTAGAGCAATTTGAGGTTCGAATTTTTGATCTTAAACTGAATAAAGTTATCAATAGAGAAGTAGATGAGAAAGATTTTGAATCCAGTGCTAGGAACAATGCTATTGTAGAACAAAGAGAGGCATTTTTGAGAAAAAGGAGAGAAATTTTAGGTAAAAAAATCGCATCTTTGGTTTTTTTTTAAAACCCTATAAAGGCCAGGGAAGTAAGGCTTGGGAAATTTTGTGCAAAAGGTTCAAAAGCGCCGAGATACCGAGACTGCAGCAATTGATTTCAGATTTAATTTCGATAAGAATGAAAGCTAATGAGAGTGTAGTCGGTTATACCACTAGAGCTGAAGAGTTGCAGTATAATTTCGATGAAGTAGACGAGGGTTTGAGTGAAAAGTTGTTTGTGTCAATCATTCTTAAAGGCCTACCAAGAGAGTTCAATACGTTTTGTACTTTGGTTAAGTTTAGCAAAGATGACAAGAGCTTGAACGAAATTAAGAAAGACTGAATAAATTTTGAAAGTGATCATAGGAATGAGAAGGAAGAAACTGAACATTCGTTTATTTAGAACAAAAACATGTTTTAGGTGCAATAAGACAGGACACATAGCAGCTCCTTGTAGATCTAAGTTAGTGAATAAGGTTAACCAGTCATCTAGTGATAGACCTCCTGTAAAATGTTTCAGGTGCTTAGAATTAAGACACATAACTAAGGATTGTAAAAATGACTTTGAGAGAAAAAGCGTGAGAGAAGACCAGCAGTTTGCTTAAACATGAATTATTTTAGCTTTTACAACTCAGCCGAGAGAGTCGACGGTGACCTAGTTATTGATTCAGGCGCAACTTGCAGTATGATAAAGGACAAGAATTTATTTGTTGAGCTTGACCAGAGTTTTAGCGAACCTGTTGAAAACGCTAACAAAACGGAGTCTAAGGTCTAAAGGAAGAGTTGAATTTTTGTGGAAAATGGTCAAGGAAATTCGAAAAAAGTTTCAATGAGTGATTGTTTCTATGTACCAGAAAACTCAAACAATTTACTGTCCGTCTCTAAACTTACTAGAGGAGGAGCTTAAGTAGTTTTTGGATAAAGTTATGTATTGAGCAAGGAAATTGGGCTATTTATCCACTTAATGAGCGAGAAAATCTTTTCATTTGGAAAATAATAGGATTTGGAAATCACAAAAAATTAATTGTTGAAAAAGTGGAAAAAAGTTTTTCATAGTTCAGAGTCAATAAGACTTATTTTTGCTGAGAGACAGGCGAGAAGACTGAGAATTTTAGTGAGCAAAATGAGAAGTTGCTAAACGACGATGATATAAGGGAAGAGGTTGAGCTGAAAAATGAACCTAGAGCCCATCCAAAAACTAAAATGTCATTAGATGAACGAGGTAAGGAGGAGTGGAGAAACTTATGCGAGGTTGAGAAGTTTCAGAGTATGGACTTGAAATGAAGTTAGGTTCAAAGATAAGAGAGAGTATAAAGTTTGAAAGCAGAGCAGGCAAATTGATCAGGATATTTGACTTAGGACAGAAAAAAAGTGATATTGCTCTCTACAATTATCGTATGGGACATGGTAAAACTGAACGTCCAGACTAGTGTAGGCTATGATTTAGTACTTAATTTGAAAGGAGGAGTGTTAACTTTCGGAGAAATGACCTCTCACTATATAGAGATGTCATTTCCCACTTTTTGGTTCAAAATAAGAACATGATTGGATATCGCACAACGTCACGCGACATCACGCGATGTTAAATCACGAGATTAGATCTCAACAGGCGGTTAACTTTCCAAATAAATAGAAGTTGATTTACTACTCTTTTATCGCTCTCTAATTAAACTGTTGATTATTCCTAGTTTTGCTGCCAACCTGTGAAAGTAACGCTTAGCTTGCTGGGACGGCAAAGGTCCTGAGATCGAATTTGACCAGGACAAGTTTTTGTTTCAAATGATAATTGTTCCGGTTCAAAAAAATTTCGGCCTATTATTTGTCTGCTAATGTTGTCGGCTTAGTTGCCACATCTAAGAATCGTTTATTTTAGCTGTAAACAATTTTCAACTGCAGTTGTTTTTTAGCATTTTAAAATTTCGGCCAAATCGAAATTTGCTTGTCACTTTAGTTGTAATTTAACCAGCTCGATTTGTTAAAATTAACTTTTTTCGTTTTAACTTTATCGGCTTATTAAATTTCAGTCTAACCAATATCGACTTATTGGCCTCTTATTAAGTCGTTGCGTGCTCTGACGAGAAAAGGGACTTGACATATTTTTGAAGTTACCTTTTTTCTGAATTTCTTTTCGGCATGAAGGGTTTCTGCTTAAGTTTTTTCGGCTTTTTACCGCTTGGTAATTAGAAATTCAAATCCAATCAACCATCCGGCGTAGAAGTATAAAGATCTGCTTGAAATGGCAAAGATTTGCGGTTCGAATCCGGCTGGGATTTTTTTTTGCAAACTAGAGTTTGTGCTTTTTCGAATTATCATCCGTCTGTTTATTTTTGTCGGCGTAGGTCCCCTAGCTCGATAGTTTAGCTTTATTCCAAGTTGCTGTAACCCCCTTGCTTGAGACGATAAACCCCGGGAGTTCGATCCCATTTGATACTTATTTTTCTGTAAATAGAAAATTTTTGTCTAATTTAGATTATTGTCTGTCTGCTGTTCAGCATAATTTGTTCTGGATATTTTGGGCTTTTGTAGCAATTTTTTTTGACAAAAACATTTTTTTTTAGTTTTTTTGTTTGATTTTCATAACATTCATATTTGTATTGCAAGTAGTTCGAAGCTCAGCTTCGCCTCTGTGTATTATATTTAGCATTATTAGCTTTTATTTGTGTTTAAATATAATTGTATTTGTAGACTATTTAGAGAATTAATTTTGTAATTAGGTGGAGAAGTGTACAAGTATGGGTGGAAAGTGACCAATTGGGACAAGTTGAAAGTAGGAGACATAGTTCAGATCAGGACTGAGAACAAAGCAGAGGCCAATCTGTCTGGCTCCAAACTCACCCCTGATATACCGGCCGATCTGCTCATTCTTGCCACAAGGTTACTCAACATTTCACATCTGCTAAGTTATCAACTTTGTTTGAGGAAGCTTAGATACTATCAGTTTCTTAGTTATGACTGACATCTTTAGACTTTTTCAACGCACGAGCATAATAAACTTTCGTCTGAAAGATGGCATTTGTTTGTTTCGTAGGGAATATTTGTCTCAATTTTAATTTTAAAAAGAATTGAACTGATATGTCCTGGTCTAGTGTGGTTACTTGAAAGAGTTTTCAAGGACGATCAAGTTCTTTTAGCGTCCATTTGTTGCCAGCTCAGTTTTAGCCGCTGTTCTTCTCATGGTTGTATAATTTCATTCCACGTCCCATAAGAGACACTGTGGATGAAATTTAAACGGCAACTGGCCTCGGCATGCCCATGGTTATAAATTTAGTTCTTAATATTTAAATTTCAGCGAAAGTAGAGATGAAATGCTACGGAGGTTTTTTACCAGGCGGGAAATGAACAAAATACTAGAATTGAATTGATGAATTGAATAATGAATTTTAAGTATTTTATAGTGAACTGGAAACAGGAACATGTACAATTACGACTAAAAATCTAGACGGAGAGACGAATCTAAAAAGCAAGAGTTCAGTCTCTTATACGCACAATCTGCTAATTGAACAGCTGCCTCACTCTGCAATCAAAAGTGGCTCCGACCCAGAAGACGAAGAGGGTATATCCTCTATGGTCAGTGGGGGAGTCTCAAGTTAGTTTTCTTAACTTGTTATGTTTTTCACGCTGGTAATAATTAATTTCGAAAGACGTTTGCAACATGTTTTCGACTAATTAAACATCCCGATCCATCCGAAGTAGTATTTTAGAATGTCTATATTTTATTGTTTTGCAGTAATAGAGTAATTACGCTTGCGAATAGCAAGCGTTATCAAATCGGAGTAGATACGTTTTTCGGGTTAACAAATTGTATGTTGGCTCATTATGAATTTGGCTCATAATGAATGTCTTTGGCACTTAGCCTGGAGGTAACGAATACGCCTGGGAAGCAAAGGTTCTGGGTTCGTATCTGACCTGGTCCTGTTTTTTTTTTCAAACTGAAAATATTCCGTTCAAAAAAATTGTGGCTTATTATTTGTCTGTCTATGTTTTGTCGGCTTAGTTGCCACATATTAGAATTTTTGCTGTGTGCAGTCTTCATAGCAGTTGTTTGTTATATTTTCATTTACTCCTGCAGTTTGTAACTCTACTTACCTTGACTTTGAATATTTTCCTCTTTTTTTAATTTTTTTTTTGCTTTAAAATGTTTTCGGCTTTGATGATTGCGGCTTAATTTTTTTTGGCTTGCTACCCTAAGTTTGGATCGTTCGAGGGAACCGTAATTCATCTGCTTTCCTCCGGATCGCACAAAACGTTAAAAATCTTAGAATCTTAGAAAATTTTAGAAAATCTTTGAAAATTTATAGTTCAAAGTTTTTCATGACAAATATTTTTTTCTCACTCAAAAGTTGTTTTTTTTTGTTTTAATTGAACGCCATGAAATGTGTTTCTGGAAGTGTTTTCAGCAAATAGAACATCATTCCGGACTTAGTTGCTTCCTTTCCTTTCTTGTCTGCTAGCTTGCATGGTATTTTTGTGGCATCGCAAATGATGCTAAGCTCCGTTTTGCCTCTGAGTAGAATTTGTTCTCAAGTTCTTTTCTGCTTTGAAAGTTTAAATTAAAAAATCAATTTTTAATTGGCTTCTTAGTTTCACAACGATGCGTGAAGTAGACCATTCTACGTTTTCCACACTTATAGCACGATAGAGTTTTCGTGCTGCTTTTTCACGGTCTTTCTTCTCCAATGATGGGTTCATTTTTTGTCTATTTCATTTGAAGAGTTAAAATGATGCCGCCTGAGTAGCTGTTCAAAATCATACTGTTTAAATTTACAACACATTAAAACAATGAAGTATCTTTTAGAGTCCTGTTGCAGAATTCTATTTAGGAATTGAATGAAAAATCTACCAGGCGATGCTCGAACAGACAGGAAAATTGTGCTGAGAGGAAAAAAAATAAGCTAAAAAATGCGTACTAAAGGTCTGAAATTTGAGAACATTTTCAGCAGTTTTCCAACCAGTTAACGCTGCTTATAATGAAAAAAAAATAGATTGACTGATTGATTGATTTCCAATGCAAAACAGACTGAGAGAGACTATTTTATATTGAAGTTGGTTTGAGGTGAAGTATCGCCTCACAAGCGAATAAAGTCTGTAAACAACTTTGGTTTGTTATTTAAAAAAACTAAGCTTAAGCAATATGCTATAAATGTTAAACGTGTTATAAAGCAATTTTATCTTTAAAATAAGGAGAATAACATAATCTATTCGTAAATTGTGATTGCAGCAGTGGACTCTGAACTAGAGGTGCTTGGCGATGCCCGCTTTGTGATCATGTGTGAGTGTCCGAATAAGAACATGGCGGTGTTCAAGGGACAGCTGCAGGATCTAACCAACTCAGCCGTGGCAGCTGGGAAGGATGAGGAACATGCATTGGCTACATCATCACTAATGGGAGCAGGTAATCTTAGTTGATTAACTGGCTGAAATGGAAGGGTCTCTTCTGTTGTACGGCCAAACTGCAGTGTTTTTCTTATGTTCGAGTTCGACATCATTGAATCTGATAATAGGCTAATCAAAACGAGAGAAAATAGCGAGAAATCAAAACGAGAGCTGCGGCTAATCAAAACGAAAAGGGTATTCTTTTTTTATGATCTTCGACGAAACATTTTAAAGAAGTTTTGCTCACTATTTCACGCAAAAACTTTACTTTTAAGTACTTGAAGGGGTTTTTTCAAAGCTCAAAATTAATATTTGCAGATGCGACGGGCTCATCTAAAGCCACTGGTATAGACACAGATGCAGGACCTGGCGCCGCCTCTACTTCGACAGGGGAGGCAATCTCGCTTAGCATAGACAATCTACTGTTGAGAGAGTGTAGACTGGAGAATACTGAGTGGGTGGTAGCATGTGTCATCTACACTGGACCAGAAGCTAAAATATCACTGGTAAGTCATCTATTGAAGTTAGAGCCCCGAAATTTTAATTTTTTCAAATATTTATTTAGTGGCATAACAAACAGATTTTTTAGTCGTGTTTGTTCTACAAGTTCGTCAAGTCGGGTTTCGTGACTGATACTGCGATCAAAACCTCAAATTCACAAAAACACATTCTCAGAGGCATGATAAGTTGTTAGATCGAGATTTTGTTAGATTTGATTTCCGCAAATGGGCCTTTTTGCGCCAGATAGATAGCTTTATATTATGTTTTGGACCCTTGCTGGATTTGCGTCAAATTTAAAATAAGTGACTCCTTTGTTTAGAACAACAAACCTCCTCCTCTAAAACAGTCTTCTCTGGAGAAAATCACAAATGTCCAGGTATGTCCTCCTCGCATTAATTAAGACTAATTGACAGTCATTCATTTTAAAAACAATTTGTATGAAGTCAACTCATGGAAAATTTTATTGGGCTTAATTTCGACTAGAAACTACCTGTTGATAACTTTGCACTTTCACTAGTTCAAAAAATGAATTTACGATCAAAAGTCAATTTACGATGTCTAAAAGTTGATTGGTTTAGATTTTCAGTCTTGACAATGATTTGATAAAATGTAAATGTATTCCGATATTGTTCAGATCTACTTCATCTTCGCCATGATGTTGACAATCGCCCTAGTGTGTTTCACTGGATACCTGGTGTGGGAACGCATGAAGGAGTCAGATATCTCGCCTTACATCCCAGACAAGTCATACACTGCGGTATTTGACAGTGAAGTGGCCACTGTGTTGCTAGTCTATGCCACTTTCTTCATCCTATTCAACAATCTAGTCCCCATATCTCTTATGTTCACGGTTGAGATGGTGAAGATTGTGCAGGCATACTTCATCAACTCAGTTAGTTGGTTTCAATTTGATCAGTTTCAAAAAATGAACACTTTATTTGCAATTTTTGAATTAACTCAAACAGGCAAGTGTAAGTCAATTAAAAAATTTTCTTTAATATAGTGCGAACGGAAAAGTTTGGCTTCAGGGAAACTTGATACGAGAGCACTTGACATGGAATCTTCGATAATTGAGATAAATAGTTAGGCCTACATCATAAGCATGCGACGAAATAAGTAATATTCTTTTATATGCTTTTTTAATATTTTACGTGCCAAAATATTTTATTGACTGTCTTCATACTTCTTTTTTTTAAAAAGCAACGAAAGATGCATTTTTGACCTATTATTAAAATACATGAAGTGATTCGATCTGCTTATAGGATCCTCTGATGGTGTTTAACCTGATCAAAGCGAGGGCGAGGACATCCAATCTGAATGATGAGTTGGGCAGGATCAAACACGTGTTCAGTGACAAGACAGGTACTCTCACCCAGAACAAGATGCAGTTCAAAAAGTGTTATGTCGCAGAGACACCCTACGACACAGACACAGGTACATTGGATACTTCATATTGACAAGAGATTCTATCAGGAACATAGAGTTTCTTATTTCGAAATCAGATACCTTCTGATTTGCTAATGCAAATGTAACAATAAATAGTTGCACATTGATAGTCCAAGTATTTCCTTTCAGCTGTAGATCAAAATTCTTAATTCACTATTTTAAAAACAGTTGGTTGAAAAATAAAAAAACAGAAAAGATCGCTTGTATCAGGACCACACACGCATCGCACCGCAAACAAGTTTAAATAACCATCAGGAAAACTTGAAGTCATAGATTCTTCTAACCGAAATAAATGAAATGTGCATTTGCAGTAATTTGAGTTTATAATTTTGTTTGAGTTGAGGTCTTTCATGTGGATTGTCAACTTGGGGCTTGACACCACAGGCAACTTTTGGTGATAATTTCAAGGATTTTAATTTTGCTGAAATTGTGTCAAAATTTTAGGACACTTATAGTCAATCAATGCAAAGCAATGAACAAACTGCTTCTCTCCGGCATGTGATCCATCGTTTAATGAAGTTGATTGGCACCAAAGGGATCCGCAAGAACCACACTAATTGTATCTCGTAGTTTGTTTGTTGAAAAATGGATCTGTTATACTCATATTTAATAGAACGCTTTCCATGCTCATTTGCACCCATGAAATTTTCCAGTAAAGAAACGACGTATTCGGAGAAGCGCTAAAAAGAAATCGGCAAAACGTAAATCTTCTGTTATGAGTTAATCTAGTGTTACGTAAATCTTCTGTTATCTGTTGCTGTTCATTTAACCTGATATGAATAATAGCTCCTTATAGCTCCTTTTTACGTAATAGCTCCTTTTTAATTATGATTAAGAGACTTGTCGAAATCATTCGTCAAAATGTTTATAGTCCTATAGTTGACTACAATTGTTATATAACAATGTGAATCAAAAAGATTTTCCAGATCACCACTTAAGGCTCTCGATCAGCCTTGAAACTCTTGCGCAATTCTTGAGAAATAATAAGAAGAACTTGTACTTAGACTTTTCTGAAGCTACGCTCAGTTAAACATTATCTAACTTTTTTATGTGTTTTTTTTTAAGATCTGAACAAGAAGTTCGCACTTGAGCATTTCAACGTGTACCCTTCTGGAGGTCTGCATGAGTTCCTTGTAATGATGGCCAGCTGCAACAGTGTCACGCCAAACGACAAAGCGAACCAAGGCTTCATCTCCAGTTCCCCAGACGAGCACGCATTAGTGCTAGGAGCAAAATCCCTAGGTTACACTCTGAAATCGCGAGGAAAGAACGGATCAACTGTAGAATTACCGGACGGATCTCAAACTAAACTAAAGGAGTTACACGTTGTGCCTTTTGACAGCAACAGAAAACGGATGTCACTTATATTCAAAAATGTATCAGATTCCGCAGGAAGTGGAGAGTATAAGATATTCACAAAAGGAGCCGATATGACAATGTTGGATAAACTAACGTCGAAATCCTTGAAGAGTTACAATAGTAAGAGCTTGCAGCAGGTTAATGAGTATTCAAAGCAGGGGTTGAGAGTGTTGCTCTTTGCAAGTAGGACTCTGACATCGGATGAAGTTATTAATCTGGACACTATTCTGGGAAAGTTATCAGATCCGAAGACCACGCAAGGTTTGTTTGTGGCGTGCTGAAGGTTTATCTAACAATTCTGTAACATGATCATTACACTAGTGAGCTTGCGAGCATAGTGTATTAGTATGAAACTACTTTTTTCCAACCTAACTGACAAATAAAAGTGCTTAATTTGGTGGCACTTTTGCTATAATCAGGATCTGTAACATTGGAAGTTACATAGCATCTGTTCTTTGTTTTATTTGTGGCTAGTGTTTGGTGCCCATTAAGCTTCCGTGGCTGAGTGGTTATTGTATGAGTCTCTTAATCTCTAGGCAGGTTCGAATCTTAAGAGGTTGCCATTTTTTTTTTTACTAATTCGAGACCTATTTCTAATTTTTATTATTGCACTTTATAGAGCTGTTTTTTTTTGTAGTGTTATCGCAAGTGTTTTCGAAGCGAAGCTTATATTCTATGTAAAAAGACAAAAAATCCACTATTGAACTCTAGGTCGCAGGTTCGAATCTCAGACGTATTCGATTTTTTTTTTCTATTTGAAGCAATATTTCTAATCGTTTTATTGCACATTATAGAGCTGCTTTTTGTGTTCTCGCTAGTATTTGCGAAGCGAAGCTTCGCCACTGTGTTCTAATTTTTCTTATTTCACTTTATAGAGCTGCTTTCTTGTCGTTTTCTGGCTAATGTTTGCAAGCACAGCTTGCCTCTGTGCTCTGTGTTACCTTTGCGATTAGATAGGGTATTGCGTCCAATATATTGTTTCCCGTTAAAAAATTTATTCACATAAAATGAACGTGAAGATTACGTGTTTCAGCTTGCTTAATTACAATTTGAATCCTATTCACTGAGTCTGCCGACTTGGCGCAGAGGTAACGCACATACTTGGAACGACTAGCGTCTGGACGGGACCTGTAATTTTTGCGAGATGATAATTTTCAGACCATCGCATTTAATCTAGAAATTGTTGACTTTTTCATTTTCACGGTTAATTCGATTTTTCGCGGCTTGACTTCAAATTTCCTTTTATACAAATTCATTTTCTGAAAACAAGAGAAGTTACACTCCCAATAACGAAAGTGAAAATAGCTCAAAAAACCTGGATGAGTTCTAATTTCGAAGTTTAGTTCAGTTTTCCCAGAATAAACGAGGTGGCTTTTTTTTAACCAGACTCGCATTAATCAGACACAGATTGGTAGTATTTTTGCTGTGTACATTTTTAGCGTTGGCAATTTATTAGCATGTGTGATTGGTAGCTATTGTTGTGGTACAGCAAGCTATTAGTCAGGAGGTGAGAAGATCAACTCCAGTCGGGGTCAAGATTTTTAGTTTACCAAGCTTATTTTTTTATTACGTATTTCCTTATGAACATCCCGTTATATAAATTTTGACCATCCCATTTTTGCTTGCTTTTGCGAATTGCACCTTCGCCTCTGTGTCGCAAATCGGGTTAGTTTAATGAAAAAAAGTTGATCAAAAGATAGTAAATTCAAAGTGCTTCGAATTCAAAGTTTTTTATTATGAAATTAAGTTTTTACTTAGTGGTTTTCGTCTCGTTTTCTATCGGCTAACGTGCCATGCTATGTTTGTGTTGTTTCGCAAGTGGTGCCAAGCTCCTCTTCTTTGTGTTAAACTTGTTGAAAAAAGGTGCGAAAATTGGCAAATGAGACAAAAGATTTCAATCGAGGACTCTTATACGATCGGACCCGCGTTCTGTCCCTGATTTAATCTAAATGTTGCCTATTCATGGTTTAGAGGAGAAGTTCATTTTGGACCGTGACTATGAGGACGTGGTCAAACAACTGGAGTCCCAACTGGATCTGGTGGGTGTGTCTGCTGTGGAGGATAAACTACAGGATGGAGTGCCAGAGTGTATTGCCGCATTGAGAGCAGCCGACATCAATGTATGGATGCTCACTGGTTGGTTTAACCATTACTTTGCTTGAGCAAACAGATTATTTCTTCTGTGGTTGAAACTGTTGTGTAAGTTAGCGTATGATTCTTTATCTAGGTAATAAAATATAAATCTGAAACACCGACACTCAGTTTTTTTTGTTGCAATTGATTTTTTTGCCAATTGTCGCGTTATTGCACTGTTACGGCTTCAGTTTGATTCAAATTGCTGTTCCTACTCTAAGAGCACAATATTCGGATCTTTTAAGTATATCCCCATACTGCAGTTTCTGCCCCTTGGGTGGTCATTCTTTACTAGGTACCATAGAAGAGGGGGATAGTTGAAGAGATGCCAATATCCGGTCATGATAACGAATTTGAGAATGTTTATCTTTTATGCAGGTGATAAGCTGGAAACTGCATTCGAAATAGCCTACTCGTGCCATCTATTCTCAAGTGATTCTAACAGTTTCACATCTCACAAACTGGAGGCAAAGCCAGGAGACACAAAAGATGATATACTTCATGAGATAAGTAGAATATCCAGTGAAATACACTCCAAGCACACTTCGGCACAACAGGAGCATGGACTCATTTTCGAAGGTCAGTTGAGGTCAAACAGTTCAGTTGTTTTCTCACATCTGATGATGTGTGGTTGCTATATGAGATGAATCGGATGTCCAAATCATATATTACAGTGTGCATAATTTTTGGTTACCAATCCCAGGCGTTCAAATGTGACCGAAAACCACGAAATGTTAAAAAAACGAGCAAGATTTTCTCAGAAATAAATATTTCAATTGTTTTTAGGGTCCATTTTGAAGACCTTGGAGTTCTCACCTAAGAATGTGGAAATCAGCCAAGCGCTGTACAACTTCACTTGCAACTTCAAATCAGTGGCCGCCTGCAGACTGGAGCCCCTGCAGAAGGCTGAGTTGGTGGAGATGACTCAGACTCTGGCCAAGGGAGAGATCACTCTGGCTATTGGGGACGGGGCCA